ACTGGAAGCTTGAAGGACTTGGTTGTTTTTTAAGATTACTGGAGTAATTGAGAGTTGAATGGCGGAGAAAGACTAATTTGTTCAAGTCTCCAAGTGGGAGATTGTTAAGATTTATGGAGTCTTGAACAAATTGACAAGTTCCTAAAAGTTCAAGGGCCATAAATGAAACTTGGAAATATTAAACAATTGAATATGAAATGGACGATGCAATTATGGAGCACACCTTTTTGAATTCATTTGTTGGACTGTCAAAGTTTTGGACGGCAAATAATTGGACGGTGGAAAAAATTGTCAAACACATGCATGAGAATTATTTTTTCAAACTATGCGGCAATCTTGTGCATATTGCGGCTCACAAATATACCTATATATATATGCATGTATGTTTTGCATATTTTGTGTGCAAAAACTTGAGAGAACATCAAGTGTAGAGTGTCAAGCCAATTGTAATCTTGTGAGTTTTAATAAAATTCTCTAGTTGCAGCCCGTGGACGTAGGATTTACACCGAATCCGAACCACGTAAAATCCTTGTGTTCTTTATTGCTTTATTTTCTCGTTTCGTTTGTGAGTGTGTGATAGTGTTTCCGCTGCGTGTACCCTGTCTCAATTCCTAACAAGGAGTTGGAGTAAAACCATATATACAAGCTTGTAAGTCTATCATACATTTAAGCTTATAAACTCACTTGAGTATGATCTTTCTACCAATGTAGGACTCATTCTCACACCCACCTCTCTTGCTAACTTTTATTCTCAACTACCCAACTTTGAGTATCGATATCTCATTCACATATAATCCATTTTGAACATACGATATATCGTTTCGGAGCTCTCACAAAGAAGAATACAAACCCACTTAGAGTTAATTATATATACAACATATGTAGAAGGATATTTAATTTCTCTTTACAAATTTTGATCAGATAAAATGCTATTGAATATTAAGTAGTAACCAGACATCATGATTGTTATGTTTTAATAAGTTGTGTAATTGATAAAAAGAATCGTTTATGTTATGATTAGAGTATTGAAACCTGTAATTGATAAAAAGAATCGTTTATGTTATGATTAGAGTATTGAAACCTGAGGTATTGGTTTGGCATTGGTTACAGGTATTGGCGTATTGCTACAATGTCACAAGCTTCGTGTTTTTTTGTATGTTATAGTTGGAAATCACCTGAGCAAGTACACATTCTTATCTATTAACATTTTTCTTATATCTTCTACCCGTGTATTCATTCTTATCTATTAACATTTGCATTAAGAAGTCTATTATAGATCTTCATCAAAGAGTTTGAGAGCTATAAAGAGGTTATTATTCAAGACCTTAGCCCAAAAATTAACTACATAGATAATAACATTCATTTTGATTTTTTACTAGTGTATTTATTCTTAGCTATTATTCTTATATACTTTTTTATTGTTGTATATCATTACTTGTTATCAGGACTATCATAAGATTTGCATGCAATATTTTTCCAACTTATTATAACATAGAAAACGTTCTATGAATGACTAGTATTATTAATGTTCCCTCGTATTAACTTCTGGAACATACCCAGAGATCATCAACTCACAAGAAAGATTTTGTAACATTTTATAAACACACTCAGATTTATCATGAGATTTATCCCCAGCCACAAATTTAACAACTTTACCATCAATTTCAATTGAACTCACACCTGGATTCTTCTCAATACCCTTATTCTTCATTCTCTTCCTCACACTGCTTGCCTTATGCCAATCTTTTCCAGCAGCATATATATTCGAAAGAAGAACATAATTCGAATCACCACCAGGGTTTACTTCACTTATAAACCTCATCAACTTTTCAGCTAGTTTCACATCTTCAGCCACTCTACATGCTGCAAGAACTGATCCTAATATAACTTCATTTGGTTTCATGGGCATATTCTGTATAACATTTAGGGCTTGTTTTAACATACGTGCGCGACTATAAAGATCTACTAAACATCCGTAATGCTCGATTCTTGGTGTTATTTTATAGTCTTGTGTCATCATGTCAAAAAGTTTCAAACTTTCATTGATTAAGCCACCATGGCTACATGCAGTAAGAGCTCCAGTGAAGGTCACTTCATCTGGCTTGAAACCATCTTTCTGCATTTGGTAAAAATACTTGAGAGTGTTTTCTGGATTCCCATTAAGAGCGAATCCCACAATGAGGGAGTTCCATGAGACTAGATTGTGTTTAGACATGGTGTGAAATACTTGAAGAGCGAATTCTGTGCAACCACATCTTGAGTACATGTCTATTAATGAATTGTTTATACGGATGTTGTTGTTTAGTTTACCTTTTAGTACAAGTCGATGAAGCCATAAGCCTAATCCAAGTGCTCCTAAATTTGCAGAAGCAGAGAGTGCAGAAACAATGGTGACATGATCAGGTTGAACCCCAGAAGCCAGCATTTCTTGAAACCACTCCAATGCATGTTCGTAATGACCATTCTTTACAAACCCATCGATTAACGCCGTATATGAAATTACATCTCTCTCAGGCATTTCATCGAACACCTGGACTGCTCTAGTAATTTCTCCATTTCTCATCAATCCACCTACCAGAGTATTCCAGGTGACTTTATTCTTGAAATCGATCTTCTCAAAGCACAAGCAAGCAATGTCCACGCGATTGCATTTACAGTACATATCAATGATAGCCGTACCCACCTTGACGTTATCTTTATCATACCCGAATTTACAGACGAGAGCATGAACTGAAGTTCCAAAAGAAAGAGCATGTAAAGGGAAATCAGCACAGCTTGAGAGAAGAGTCACAAAGGTAATGTGATTGGGTTCGACTCCGGCAACTCTCATACGAGTGAACTCGGCAGCAGCACGATCTAAACGACCGGTTCGGCAGTAGCGAGCAATGGATGAGGTCCATGAAGAGACGTTAAGTTCACCGGAACTGGAGTCATCAGCAGTTGTATGGCGGAATATAGCGTGCTGTTTTGTGGGGATTGGAAGGATGCGAGGAGGATGAGTGTAGTGGTTGTCGTTGTGGTCATGTGGTGGTGCACAGATGGTAAGTGTTGAGGAAGCAAAGAGACTCATTTCGTTAGGTATCTTATTCTTACCCCGTGGCTTTGTAAGCACAAGTTAATGCTACAGCTTCATCGTCTTTACATGTGATTTGTTTCAATACCTGCAAGTAAGAGCATGCACAAATCCATAGTTTTAAGGGAAAAGTTACCCAGGTAGAATGACTGCTACCCTCTAACCTCCGCCGTGGGCTCTATCGGCTGCCGCTTTTCCTCTCAAGTCTCCTCTCCGCCGGAGTAACTAGGAAAGTAAGAAGTTGCACGTATTTGCTCACTCTCTTTTCACTCTATGAAGTATGAATACGTCTTCATAAAAGATATGAAAGAGACTCGAATATGGTGACACTGAAATAATTAATATCTAGATATGTAATTTGCACTAAAATATCTAGATACATAATTTATTAGTATGAACTACATGATCAGTAATGTGTCAAACTATAAGGTAGGGATGTCAAGTTCAGAGGATCAAAGGGGAGTGGAAATAGCTGTCTTTGCCCCTGTCTCCGAAATCAATTATTGCCCCCGCCCCCGTGTCCGAATCCCTCGTTTACATAGTCACCGATCCCGCCCCCGTTCCCTTGTTTTATAGGCTTAAAATTGATTTTTTTTTCTAAAAAGAATTGTTATATTTTGGGCTAAAAAAACTATTTTTCATAACTTTAAAAGCTTAAAATCTAGTTTTTTAACAACTAAAAAATTAAAAATCCAACATTACAAAACGACGAATCCAACAAACTTATAAATACGACAAGTCCAACATTACAAAAAGAGTACATGTCCAAAAATATATGACCGATTGTGAAGTGAAAGAAAGTGAAGAAATCCTAAAAGTAGATAATATATTGTCCAAAAATACCCACTTCAGCCACCGGTCCCGAAAATAAAACGGTGTTTAATTCCACACCCGCCCTTGAATTTTTTAAAAATTTAATCTTGTACAGAATCAGAGTCCCACAGAAGTTTTTAACATCCCTGCTATAAAGATGTTTTTATTAAGATTATCCCATTTTTTTTTCTTTTTGCTTTTTTTAGCTTTGGTTAATTAAACAACTTGTTTGTTTATCCCAAACCGGTTTTGAAAAAATCGGATCATCCAAATCTGTAACTTTATTTACAACTTAGGTTATTTAATCCGAAAATGGTTATAAATTATTAATCTGAAACGTGAAAAAACATCAGATTTAATCTGAAAAAAATTATTAGCTAATCTGAAACAGGTTTCGAGTTATAGATATGCTAATGGGAATCTGTAAAATGTTACACTTTATAAACAAGTTCGGAACAATATAATTTATCGTTATTCAACAACCATAGGATATAGTAAACTAGGTTTACTTAATGATACCCAATTATAACCAAGGAAACAAAAAGAAAATCATTAGTGTGGTTATAAACTTATTATAAAAAAAACATATTTATTAATTGTTAATTTGTTATTTTATTTTGTTATGTTAACTTGTAATTAGTCAAAACTTAGTTGTTAAAATAAGTGGAAGATCGAGTTCTTTTTAATGACTCGTTGGTTTTTTACTTGCACACAAAACTGGTTTATGAGATTTTTGAAGACTTTCAAAAATGTAAAAGATAAATAAGTTCTCCCCGTAGTTTTAATGTTCACGAAATAGGTCATTCACCTCATTTGTATATACATAACACTAGGGCTATTTCATAAAATAGAACCATTCATAAACCATCACTAAATTGGTCAGCATTCAGCATATTCGATACAAACTCTAAACAACTTTAAATGATTAAAGAACCTTATTAAAAAATAAAAATCATTCAGCACTAAAGGGTTCAGGTTCAGTATTTATTATCAAACCTATGAAAGTGAGTAACTACCTCACATTCCATTTCCACCTTTTCATGTGGAAAAATGAAAACTAATTGCAACTTTCATCTCATTGATATCGATTGGAGTCTCAATCTCCAAGACAAATACATGCCAAATTTTCGTAAATAATCATGTCATGCCATAACATTACTCCAATAAAATGAGGCTATGTGCCTTCATACAATTACAAAACCTTGTACAAACAACAACAGTACCCCATGAGTAACGAGGTAAGGGACAAAACCTTGTACAAACAAAGATGTCCCAAAAAAAGGCAAATAAAAAAAATGCCTAGAAAAGAAGAAAAAAAACACAATCAAGCAAGCATCAACCAGAATGCTCAAAATTAGAAACTTACACAACAGATTAGAAACTCGATATAATTACAATTTTTTCTGACACTAGGATACAATACAAACTAACTTAGCAAATTTAAGTTGTTTTCTCGGCTGCTGCTCTATCCTCGGGCCCACCAAGCATGATCTGGAAACATAACCATTTACAACATCAGAATTTTTTTCAAAACAAGTGTAAGGGGGGGTATAAATGTCTTTTTGTAATGAGAATGAGAGACGAAGATTATACATTACAATCGAAGGCGAATCTGCGTGCAAGCATAATAGCAGCATTTCTCTCTCTTTCGGACTCGAATGCAAGCACAAAGGAGAGGCCTATTTTTGGTTGCCAGAATGATGCCTGTGCTGCAGCATTTCCACCTCCTCTAACTCCACAAAGCTTATTTTGGATTGGAAGAAGAAATCATATTATCAATATAAAGTATATATTAATTAAAAGACACATAAGATTTGTTGTTGTTTTGAAAAAGGAATTGAAATTACCTGCATAAAAGGGGAGTAGAATTCTTTTGCCATTGTTGTGTTATCCTTGCGAAGTTTCATCCTCATCTTTCCTACATGAAGTACATGAACTGACTCTGAAGGATGCTCTGCCCCATTCATTTGAACAATCACTACCTGATTCCACATTCCACATCCACAAACAATATAATCAACAAATACCAATATTTTATTAAAAAGTATATATATATATATATATATATATATATATATATATATATATATATATATATATATATATATATATATATCAGTGTTGCAAATATCGGCCTAGGCGGCCGATTAATCGGCGCCTAGGCGCTTGGCGGTCCTCCACCGTCGACGTTTATAGCTAATCGGACCCTATTATCGGACGTGGTCAAAATCGGTCAAAGACGGAGATTATCGGGTCTAGGCGGACCTAGGCGCCCTAATCGGTAATAAAAAAAAAAAAAAAAAAAAAAAAAAAAAAAAACTTTAAGGGCAAAAGTTTCAAATTGTTAGAATTGCTGCTAGGGTTCTTCTCACTCCATCGCATTCATTCCTTTTCTTTTTTGAAATTCTCTCTGTAGTCGTCTGAAGGAACGAAAGAAAGCATGAACTGAAGCTTCTAAAACGATGCCATATTCTTCTTCGATGCCATCTGTCCCTCCTCCGACACCGTCTTTTTCTTCCATTCACGTCATCGCAATCTGTCAGTCGTCATCCTCAAAGCTAAACCAGTCTTCGCCTTCTGAAGCTTCTACAACAGTCGCCGCCTCTTGTGTGTTATATAGCAATAATCAGGATGGAATCATCGATGATGGAATTCCCACATATCCACAGCCTCCTGCTATTGAATTCCCTTAACATTCACAAAGTTCCAAATGCAGTAGACAACAGGTTGCAGGTCCACATCTCTTCCCGATGCTATTGGAACCCATTGTTCATAACACTTTTTTCTCCCCATTTTATGCAGACTTGGATCCAAATGCAATTGTTGGTTATTTAGATCTGATGTATTAGGGATCAAAAGGGTTTTTGTAATCATAGTATCATGTTATAATGTTATATTTATTAATTTTTAGTAACTTTTTAATAGATATAATGTTATATTCTTAGGATTAATGTATTATTTATTAATTTTTTAATAATTAATGGTCCCCGATTAATCCCTTTGACCCCAGTCCACCGCCGAGCTACCGTCAAGCGATTTCTGCAACCTTGATATATATAAAGAAATCTGTAAAACATAACATAGTAGCTGAGCTGGCATACATTAAACTCGGTGTCATGGCGCCGAACCAATGCTTCCACATAGTTTCCTAATCCTGCAGCTGTTTTACATAATTTGTATAAGTTGAGTTTGGTATAAAGCATCACGAGGAGGGCATTTACGTCTTTTCACAGACAAACCTGGATCAATGGGACCAGAAGTTGTCAAAGTGATACTCAACCCATCTGACATGACATCAGCTTCAAGTAATCGCCCAACATCAGAAGGTTCAGGAGCATAAATAGGTTTTGTGGCACCTAAAAAGTATAAATTTGGATTAGTTCTATAAAAAGTATATCCAAAAAAAAAAAAAAAAAAAATCCATCACATCCTAAATATTCCTAATACCTGAAATAAGATCCTTTTTTCCACCTTCAGAAGCCAAACGATACCACTGGATAGAACATTCTAGAAGATCTGGGGCTTCATTACAACATGGATGAATCTGCAAATATGAGCCTAAAGATTCTGTGCCATCTAATTCAAATAAATTGGGTCTATTTTTCTCTCCCTGTTTGCTCATTGCCAACTGAAATACAAACAAACAACAAAAAATAATAAATTAATAATAATAATAACAAACCATCTAAGATAAACAATTAAGACTGATTATTAAATTATTTTGCCTCTTTCTGGAGCTTCAATGAACACTTAGACTTCTCTGCTAGTTGAGTTCGTAATGCCTGGAGCTCATGTTCCATATCCATAACCTGTGACAAGATAATATTTAAAATTAATATTGCTGATTAAATAATATATATGAGCATTAAGATGATTTTTAGAGAATTTTATCTGATGCAAAAATACAATATCTGTCTTCTGATATTTCAATATACTATATAGATATGGTGTTTGATGCTTGAGTTCTTAAACTCCTAAAATATAAGAAACTAAATAAATGAAAAGGTTAAAATTAATAATAACAAAAAGTACACCAAAACCAAATGCAAATAACATGGTACCTTACTAGGCTGATGAAGCATCTTGATCCTTCTAGCCTCTTGTACTTCCTTCATTAATTCTTCCACATCCTAAATATATATAACACATATAGATATAATCACAATAAAACTATATATATATATATATATATATATATATATATATATATATATATATATATATATAGTATAATGGATTGCAATTCATCATCATAAATTAGCACTATAACTCTATAAGTATCTTGACACTCATAAAGAACAAAAAGAAAAGATGGTAAAAAGTGGAAGTTCATATTTCATGTGTTCCACGCTATTACTAACCTAACAAGTGTTTTTGCTTTTTGTTTGTGTTTCTGTTTATTTTATTCATTTCAGGAACTTCAAAAGTTTCCTTTTATGAAGTGCACTTTATAATATTGCTTTAAAGAATAACTATAAGTAAAATATACAAACATATAACATTGTTTATAAAACTCTAAACAAACAAACCTGTGTCCCTGTAGCTCGGGACATTTTTTCTTGCTCCTGAAGAGCTTCTTCCACTCTCTGAACTGCAGCTCTAGCTTTCTCAATTTCAGTTCTTGCAAAAGCTCTCTCTTCATCAACAAGCTTTTTTGCATCTTCTGAAGCCTACATGTATTTATAAATCTTTACCAAAACTAAACAGCAGAAATATAAGAGAAAAATTAATTCCTTTAAGGTGTTGAACTAAAATAATGGAACACTAACCTGCTTTAGAAAACTTGCAAGCTTCTTAACCTCAGCCTTTTCTTGAACCAACTCTCCTTCCCTTTGTGTCAATTGACCTGATAAAGCTTCAACCTAACCATAAACATTAAAAATGAACATTTTTAGCAACTTAATTCAAAGGCAAAAATATGGATTGTGTTTATGTCATCTAAAACAAACCTACCATGGCAATAGCCTCCTCCACATCATCTTTGTTTTTACCAACAGCACGCCCTCTCAATGATTCAAGTGCATCTTTAAGCTTTTCTAAAAGCACATGTTTCTCTAGAGAAACCACATCTCTGAGCTTATTCTGTCCCTCATATGTGAATTGCATTCAGTATAACAAAATGATTTTAATATATGTGTGAAATTACAGAGGCCAACCTCATCAGATAACTTAGCAGCAGCAGCTAAACCCTTTTCAAATTTACTGGCAAGATCACGAACAGATAAACGGTTTTGTTGATCTAGCAACTTGGCAGTTTCATGTCGAGTTAACTCCCTCATAGAAACTAACTTTGAATCTTCTTTTGCCTCCATTGTGTTGTTATTAGTTCTGTTTTTGTAATTTGGAAATCGGCTGGATGCAAATAGAACATCTGCTGACACTGGGGAAACTGCATCTCTTTGAGTTGTGTAGCTGAAATCTCGTCCCATTCTTGTCATGCTTATGGTTTAGATACAACTGTCGAGAATCAAGCTTTTAGTAACAATAAAAACCCTAAAGCCATAAGTCAATTTCAGATAAACAAGTAGTATGACGTAGGCTGATCTGGTCAAACTGGTCAATGGAAAGGGAAAGGGAAGATCAAACAATTAACAAACGATTTCGGGTTTGCAAAATGCAAAAGAAGCCAATGAAGGTTTCGCCTGATGAATAAGTCAAAATGAAACCCCATTTCGTCGTGGAAACGGAATAATAGCCTAATCGGCGGAGTAAACTATTTTATGGCTTGTAATTACATCATTAGTTAGAAGTCGTCAACCTGGATTACATCAGACATATTTAATTAAACCAAAAGTCAACAGAATGCAAAAAGGAAGAAGGAGAAGAAGAACCACATAAAGAGGATGTTTATCAAATTATAATGCAGACAAAGCAAAGCAACCGATGAAACAACGGGAATGTACAAAACGAAGGAAAAACAGATTCAATCGGTATTAAGTATGAACAACAGCAAACACAAAAACAGTGATACCAAACTGAACCCTAATTCAAAAGCGAAAATCAGTAAATTGAACCACCTTGAAGCGAAAAAGATGATTGTACTTACAGAGCATGTAAACAGCGACTAATTAACAACCGATGAGAGACTTATTCGGTGGATTCGCTGTTGAAATCGACAGGCAATGCTTCGATGATGATGTTGCAAGAAGTGAGATTGGGAATTTGGAAATTCTAAATCCAAAAGAGAGTATTTGGTTTGCTTTTTGAAAAGCAGCAAAAAGGCGTAGAAGATGTGTAGTAAGTCCAAAGTGAACCTCTCAAAGTCTCGAACACATACAGTGGAGTTGTTTTACCCGGCTGTTTGGAGTCTTGTCTTAAAATTGATTACGATTAGGAAAACATGTAAAATACGTTTATTATATTTTTAACTTATTAATTATTAATCTAATATCTTTTTTTCATTTTATATATAATGGTAAAAAAAATTGTTACTAGAAATGATTAAAAATATGTGTGATAGATTTGATAAAATGATAAAAGTAAATTGTGTTTTTCATACGATTAGCCCTAATTAAAAAATTAATTAGTTATAATACAGTTGATATATATATATATATATATATATATATATATATATATATATATATATATATATATATATATATAGAGAGAGAGAGAGAGAGAGCTGGATTCAAATGTTTTCAGCAACTATTGTGTGCATGAATGCACCAATAGGAATTTAGAAAAAAATAAATCATTAATAATAAATATAAGGGTATAATAGTAATCTATACTATAATTAATTATGGTAAATTGATAAAATCAAATAATATCTCCTTTTAAATTAGGATATTAGTTTTAAAACCTCACCCCCACCATATTAGGGTTTTACGCTCCCTCTTCATCTCATACAGTACCCACACACACATAGAGACCCGATAGAACTACTCTTCTTCTTCAATAGAGACCCGGTAGAACTACTCCACACGCATAACAGGTGATGATCCACTTTCCGTCTTAGGCCTCCACACGCAGAAAGTTCCAGAAGGTAGAGCTTCCAATTCGTCGGCTTCTGATGATGAACACGAAGAAGATTCTTCTGGTTCATCAATGAACAGCTTTCGTAATGAACTGGTGATAGAATCAGAAGCATGAATCTCATTATCCTTTGATTTAACTTCATCCTTGATGAGAAGATCGTGATTGAAAAGAGGAAAAATAGTCCAGCCTCACGAATCGATCTCTTTTGCTGAAACTCCTTCTTCACTTAAATCCAACGAGAATCTAAAATCGTCTTCATCGAAATCCCCAAAATTCGTGAAATCGACCGGCCTGTTCTTCACGTATGACTTTGGCGATAGCCATGGATGTGTTCTTCGATCTATGAGAGATTCTGGAATCGGCTTCCAGGTATGCACTCTATTGTCTGTTTTGTCTCCTCAGCCATATCTCATCTCTCGTTCCCCTTCCATTTCCATTTTTTGAAACACAATCCAAGAAACAGACCCACCATGGATAACAATGTTGACATATGCTTTCAAGAAGTGATTTTGACTTTGCTTATGATTAGTTATTCCATAAACATGATAATTTAATTTGATTTCTTTGAAGTAATTTCATACTCTTGATAATACAAATTATTTGTTAGTATTTGAAGGTTTACACTCTTTTATTGTAAATTTAGTCACATTCATGTATTTATTAATTACATATGTTGTATGTTTCATCAAATGGAGTATAAAGATTTGTGCATCTGATTTTGCCAACCAAATGTTTGTTAAAATGCTTGAATCAAATATTTCAGCCAATTTTTTTTGTAATATTTGAACTATCATATCTCTCTCATACTAGCTTGGAATGATATGAAATTTGTTTCTGCATATTCTCCTTTGTGTTAGCTACAAGTTAGGTTCAGAAGTCATTTAAATTTGATTAATATTGGTTGAGTTATAGTCCTTCGAACATGCGATGTTACAGCTGTATTTTTAGCACTCTTTGTTCAGAAACATTTGTGATCTTTGAACTGTCATATTTACCACATTCTAGCTTGTAATAAGCTAACATTTTTCCAAAGTATTGTCCTCTGTGTTAGCTACAATGTAGTCATTGTAATTAGATTAAGTCGATAATTTGGATCAGGTGACTCGGATAATACTTGATCAAGTGACTCGAGTACATTCTGTTAGAATAAATTAAAAGTCTTTAATGTCTAACACATTCTGTTAGAATTATAGTTTTATTCTGTTAGAATATACTGAAAGTTCTACTATTTTAAAGTTGATTATGTTTTTTTTTTGGATTTAGGTTTTGAAGGGGCTGCCATTGATGTGGAAAATGAAGAAGACATGGAGAACGAGAGTATTCTAGCAGAATGTTGTTATTTTTTTAAGAATGTTATTCATTTTTGTTGATATTCTTTTAGAATATTTATAACTATATTAAAATGTATAAGACTTTTAGTCTGTAAGAATATGTATGAATTTGTATTTAAGTTCGGATGTATAAGAATATATCAGAATGTTTGTTAATTTTCAACATCTGATTCAAGAATTTTGTTTTTCTTCAATAATATTCTATTAGAATAAAATTCTGAAAGAGTATCATTCTAACAAAAAATATTCTGACAGAATAAAATCGATAAAAATTGAAATTGAATTAATTAAAAAATTCAGATTTTTTTAAATTAGGAGAATTAATCATCCCTAAAAATCTGAAAATTTCCTTTTATAAATGTAGTTAATTGTCCAAAATACCCTTTTGTTAAAAATTGTGTGAATATATGGTACATGTTACCCCATTGTAATATCATACACTCTCAAATCATGTCCATTGATTAATTTCATCCGTTGGTCCAGATCTGTACATTCTGGCACACAATACTTAGTAAAAACAAAATAACTTAAGCCTATATATATATATATATATATATATATATATATATATATATATATATATAATTATGAACTGATCAATTCAAAAACTTATATAGAACTAGATTGGTAATTTTCTTTTTCAATTCAAAAACTTATATAAAAGTAGATTGGTAATTTTCTTTTTCATTAATAATGTTAATTAATTATATTAGATATTATTGTCACTCGTATCACCTTTCTAAAGGTAATATTAATCAAAAATTTCAAATTAAATACATTATCCTTTAACTTATATGTATTCATATGTATGTATTTTTTAGTGATAACATCACTTTCCACGCTATGACAATGATATAGCTATGTTGTATAAACTGAAATCACAGAAAAATAAAAAACAAGCAGGAAAATAACTTTTTACGGATTTAACCCCACAAAAATGATCGATTAGCTAATAGCGATTAAATTTCAATTAAAATAAGTCGTTCCCCGGCAACGGCGTCAACAACTTGGTGTTATATATATATATATATATATATATATATATATATATATATATATATATATATATATATATATATATCACTTAAAAAGCTTAAATTTATATCTTAATTATTTGACTCAGCTAAAACACAATACGCAATGTACCTAGTCGTGTGGTAGTGAAGTAGAGTAAGTAAGGAATCGATCACATGGAACGGTATTCTAATTAAAAAAAATGCTAAGACTAATCTAAAAGATAAAAACTTTGATGGGGTTTTTTATCTGATTTTTTAATTTAAAAAAAAAGGACCTTAATTTAAGCAATCGACTAAAAAACTTTAAAGTAAAGCAAACAACTAGAAAACGAGATTTGATCAAGAATTAAAAGATACTTCCGTTTAGCTTTGAATCCCCTCTTTTTCCTATGGTTAATTTCAAGACAACTGATTAATTTTGTATGTTACCAAATTAGAGGTTGCTCGTTATCTTGGTCTGATTAGCTAGCATATGTCAATTTATGAACTTTAACCACAGTGATCATGCAAATTAAGAACACCAAATTGATTTTAAGATATATTTGGATTGTGATTGAATAGATCTAAGACTTATCTATCTATGATCAAGATAAACAATCAAGCACATATTATGATGTAATAGTGTTCTCTAACACAGTTAAGCAACTAACTTTACCACCTATACTAGGATTTTTTTCAATCACTAGTTTTAGTCATTTAATGATCATAAACAACTAGAAAACAAGTCCATGCAATCAAAATGGTCATCTAACTACACAAAACTTAAGGGCAAGGCAATAAAGATTGAAACTTTAACATGCTAGGATAATGATCTATCAAACACAAGCTAAAACCAACTTCAATAATCCATAAAAATATAAATTAACACATAGTATTAGAGTTCGTCTAATCTAAACGAAAGTAAGGGGTTATTAGCCCATGATTACAGCAGAAACACACATAATCAAAAAGTAATCTAGGTTAAACATTGTAAAATCTAGACAAACCGAATAATTAATGATGAATCTTTATTTCAATCTCACTAAATCTTGATCTTCAATCGAAATCATGCCTCCAAGGGTTTTCTCAGAGGTTTTTAGTTGCTTTTGGTCTAAGAAATCAGCAGCTCTATCTCGGATTTGACCTAATTATCCGTATTTATACTTGCCAAAAATCAGCTTCCGCGTCGTGGCTATGTGCCTGTCATGTCGTGGAAAACATTTATAATGCGTATTTTGCAAGTCTCGGCACAGGCTCATCGAGAAGGTTCTTCATCTCCACGTCGTGGAATCTTCTTTTATGTACGATTCTTCTTTTCTTCTCCTTGATGCATGCTCCATCCTCCAAGTTTCCAGCTTTGTTCAGTGTTTGTCCTTTTTCTTGAGAATATCCTTCTTAGCTACAAAAATAGAATTTATACTTTATACGTACCAATTATCTTTGTATTTAACCAAACTATAGCTAAAATGTATTGAAATAATGCGTAAATATATGTATAAATATAGCAATATCAAAATATATCGCACTTGTCTTTTGATTGTCCCCAAGAAAAACTTTATTTCAATACATCACATTAAAACATTGCCCACCAGTATCAAACTTTATTTCCACCTCATTTTGAATAACATTCATTTTCACATTACTTCAATTTATACCCTTTTATTACCCCCTTTGTTTCAAAAGTTATTGTCAAGTTTCCAAGCGACACGACTTAAAAAGCAAATACTATATAATATAATTGTCCTAAAATATAACTACACTTTTGTGACAACCGAAGAAAATGCATCACTAACCGCCATTAGGAATTAGTACAAACAAACATATTTAATAAAATAAGAGTGTAATACAATAATATTTTAATAAATATATGCAGTTACAACCTTACACAATTGTAAGAACACGATCAACTATTTTGGGTAATAGGTTAAAAATAAGTATGCAAAA